AGGGAGACTCGATCCCACCTAGGAGACTCAGTTTATTCATGAGCATCATTAGCCTTTCTCCCTGCCTCTCTTGGCAATGTTGCTCATGAGTAAACTGCAACTAGGATCTCCCATGTGTTGCACCCCCCCTCCCAGCCTTCGCCTGTGCCTCTATGCCATTTTCAGGTGCCCAGCTTTCCAGGCTGACCCTGTCCCTGCTGCGGTGCAGAGGCGTGGGCAGAGACTGGGCGGGGGGGGGGGTGCAACACATGGGAGATCCTAGTTGCAGTTTACTCATGAGCAACATTGCCAAGAGAGGCAGGGAGAAAGGCTAATGATGCTCATGAATAAACTGAGTCTCCTAGGTGGGATCGAGTCTCCCTGCTCACATCTTTACCTAAGGGCATCGCTGGCAGCCACTTCCTTCTGAAGTCTGTGCTCTTCCTGTTGCTGCTTGGCCTGCTTGATGCGCGGAGCCAGGTGGTGGTGGTTTCGTTCGCTGCCTGCAAGCTCTGGGAGACGAGCCGAGCGAGCAAGCCAGGATCTGCCGGCTGCCTCTAATCTGCAGTTTACTTGTGAGCACGTTTATTTGTGAGCATGGTGCTCATGAGTAAACTGCAGATTACAGGCAGCTGGTGTGAGCGCTACACCTAAAGGGCTGGCAACCTTTGGTAGAGGTGGTGCCGATTGCCCTGCGGCGCTCGGGACCCTGCCGGCTTTTGGGGTTGCTGCTCACTGTATTCTGGCCAAAGTTGAGTGGGAAAACTCCCTGGGAATTTCGGGGTGCCCTGCCACCGCTGCTGCCGCCATGGCTAGGATGGGGACGGGGGCACTGCCTGTCACCGCCACCACTGCCCTCTCCTGCTGCTGCCCTCTTTTTCCGCCGCTGCCCTGCCACCATCCCTGTTGTAGTGCTTAACCTATGTGTAGGCAGGAGGAGGCAGTGGATGCACATGGCGAAGGCGAGACAGGGTGAGCATCCAGGCAGGCGGACCTGTTCGGGGGTGTGGCCAGCCAGCGGTCACTATTGGTTCTACAACCTAGGCTGGCTACCACTACCGGTTTTATACTTACTTTCCTTCAAGAGCTTAAGATGGTATACTCCCTTTTCGCATTTTTTCCCACAGCAACAATCCTATAATGAAGGCTAAGCTAAGAGCAACCAGCCCATTCATTAGGCTCCTGTGGTTGAAAATGTACTAGATTTTCTTGGTGTGTGGCCAAAACTCTATATAATATCATCTATATACCCCACTGTCTCACATGTAATAGTTCTTTTGGGAAGCACTGGGCCTGGCAAGGAGGAGGGCTTAAACATGTGTGGATCTATCTGTTTGTGCCTGACAATTTCTGATCTAGTAAACAAATCCTATTTGTATACTTAAAAACACTTTTTAAATTTTGTTTATTGCTTTGAAGTAATCCTTTACAATAAGCAAATCATTGGCTTTTTTCCCCATAGAATCTATAATTGCAGTATCGTCTGGAACAAGTAGACAAGGTCAGAATAAAAGTGCAAGAACATCAAAAATTGATACAGACATCAAGGTTATTGAAGAGCTCTGTAAAGAGTATGATTGTAATTTGGATGAGGTGAGAGTAGAATTTTTATAATTTTGTATTTTTAATACAAAATATTTTTAATTTTTAATTTATCTTACCAAGTTTTACTGAAAGAAATACAAAAAAATGAAAAAAGAAACAAACAAATAGTCCTACAACTATTTGGTTGGTGACCATTCCAAGTGAGAGCAGCACTGAATGAATGGGTGCTATGCCTGGTCCAGCTGTCCCAGAACACTCACAATCTGGTTGTTCTTCAATTGGTGGTTCTTTCCCTCCCACTCACCCACCCACCCACCCACACAGCTTTCCCTAGTTTTTCTGGGCTCATGCTAATCAGCCACTTGTGCACCCTCCCTCACCTACACCACACATCCATGTACACTTCCCAGTTTACATGGTGTCTTCTGCATACACCCTGGCCCACCTCTTGTGTACTTTTCCTAACCTATGCTTCTCACATATCTTCCCACATCCTTGTGCACCCTCTCCAATCCTCCCTCATATTTTTTATTATGGTAAAAATGGTCTTAAAGTTGGATCCAATGACTTGATGAATAGTTTTACAATTACATTGTTTCGCATTCAAAATTCTGGTCTCATTTGTTATAAGTCAAGGAGTACTTGTAGAATGTTTTGTCTTTTATGTAATGTCATCTAAACTAATAGTGTTCCATGATTAATTTATGTATTAACAAGCACCCAAATGCTAATCCTAAATAAAAATAAATCTCTTAGGATTTCACTAGCTAAATTGAAATTAATTTACGATAATTATAATTGACTTTATATTTTATCAGCTATGGAATATGAATGGAAATTAAGCAGAGTATGCTGAAGGCTGTCTTGGAAAGTTTCTTCTCATATCCCATTAAGATCCTGGAAATTGCTAGGGTCCACATAATAAAAAGTGTGTTCATTTCTGGATTTTTAAGCTGACATGTTTCCGCCCTGTTGTTTATATTTTAATGAATAGTTAACTTCATGAAAGTCGTGAATATTCAACTTTTGGGGAAAATTTCTGCAGCCTATATCTTAATTATACATTTTTTTCAAATTCCATGATTTTTAAGTTTAGTTATATATTTATTTACATCCCACTTCTATCTTTTTTTTTTTTACAAATAACTCAAGTCAGCAAACATGTCAAACACATCTTCCTTCTCTTTGTTCTTTGCTGTCATTTCTTTGTAATAGAATCAGTAAAGCTAATCCTGAGACATGCAGTGAATTTAGTTTTCAGGTGGTAAAATAACAGAAGGTATTGCAGAAAAAGATGATGATTAATCTCTTTTTATGGTCAAAACTTAGAATGCTGATCAATCTGCTTAGAACAGTTCATGCAAATGGTATGTCCTAAACCATATGTTTTTATAGGAATTCATGCTAAACTAAATGTAATTCTAGATAATAAGTCTCAGATGTAGCAATGTCTTCATGCTACTAAATTATAGTAATAAACCACATACATTTTAATACCATTTTAAGCATGAAAAATGACACTGATGCTCTTTTATAATTTTAGGTGAAAAATGTTTACTTTACTAGCTTTATTCCATTTCTGAATTCAATGGGCACTACAACTTTCAGAAGACTTCAGGAGGTAAACCTAAATGAATTTGAAAATCAATTTGCCATTATGAATTCTTGATTTGATTTTGATCATTAGAAATTTGTCCCTTGATAGACTTTTCTAATAGTGAAATGCTACTTACCAGTTTATTAATACTTTTTTCTTAATGTAGAGGTATTTGAATGTCACATGTCATGTGGTTCTTAAACTGTTTTACCCAATTACCCCTTTTCTGATAGGTTTCCAAAATAGGATCCTGGACTCAAAAACAAAAAAATATAAATCACTCAATTACCCCCAGAATATACCCATATTATTCCTTTAGTAATAATTTCCCACAGTGTAAAAACCACTGCATTAGATGATAACTTTTATTAAAAAATGGAGTAAATAAATAGAGTATAAACATTTTCTAAAAAATGTATAAATTACATATAAATGTATCATAGATGAATAGTACATTTTCAGTATGAATCTATTTTTCTTTCAACTTAAGGTTGAAGATTTGTCAACCAAATATGAAGAAATGTATTTGAAAAACAAGGATATTGATGCTAGATTATTTCTAGAGAAAGATGAGACTTTGAAATATGAAAATGAAGAATGGTAATATATTTTCTTTTTTGCATAGTCCATGTTCCAGTAATATCTATTCATCCATTAGATAATCTGAGGATTAGCTTCAGCTGCCTCACAGGCAGTGTCTCACAGGCACATAATTTAAGAATGAAAGATTAGAATGAATATCCAGATGTATAATCTTATTGACAATAGAATAGAGTCCAATTTGGTTATAGATAGTATGCTCTCTTTTATTAATTCCTATTCAGCTTTGGCAATGCTGCTGCTGCTTTAGTAGAAGCTTGGGCTAAAATGGATATTTGATCCTTCCAAGTTATAATATCAATAAGTAGATATGATTTTGAATTACAAGAGTCAGTCAAGCCAAAGTCTGGGACATTTGCTAAAGGAAATGAGAATGAATAAATACTAGATGAATATCGAATACATCTTGAAAAAAATTGAGTGAAAAGAATGAAATAAGAAACCTCACAGAACAAGGACACTTGGGGACTACTATTATCAGATCTCAGCTAGGAGTATGTAACTATCTTTCTTTGAATGTTATCATTAACAAGAACTCTGTCACAAGTGATGGGGGGAACAAATGTGACCAGAGATTTTAGCTTGGTTTAACATAAGAAGCTTTTATATGTCTACATGACACGTATGTGTAGAGACGTTTTTCTTATATTAAGTTTGCAGTTAGAGAGAACTCCTACAAAAAACCAAATTGAAGATTCTCCTATTGTACTTCCACAAACCCCTGTTCGGTAAGAATCATTTAAATTGTATTAATATTGAATTATTTTAATGATTCAATTTAATTATTTCTGAATTGTAAGTCACATATTTAAGCTGAAAAAAATAAGTGTCAAGTTTCATATATATTTTGGTCTTATTAAAATATTGCATACATTTACATTTGTAGTTTCAAAAGAAAAATGCGACAGTAAGCATAGCCTGTTTTAGAGGTCCAATATTTTAATATTAGCAGTTTTCTCATTATATAGCAGAATGCTTTCAAACATTGTATGACTTACATCGATTTAGCAAATCTATGATTGAAATTGTCGTACAACTTCACTGCCTCTACAAATAATTTCTTCATAATATGGGTAATTTAAAATGCTTCAGAGGATGTTAATACTACAATTATAAAAAACAACTATAATGTTATATTAAAAATATATATTTCTGAGGAATATCTTTATTTAAATGCTGTTGTGTTTCAGAAAATACTAAGTGTTCTTCATTCACTTTAGAGCTGCAATGAATACTATTCAGCAGTTAATGATAATATTGAACTCTGCAAGTGATACCCCTTCAGACAACCTTCTCTTCTATTTTAATGTAAGTAGCAACAATTTAACTATACTTATGACTTCTTCATAGTTTGTATCAGATTTTGTTTTGTTTCTAGCTGGAAATAATAATTGCTTCAGGTATGATATGGTTAGTTTCAATAAGATTCAGTTTGGTTAAAAGTAGACATGTGAAGAGGTTGGCAGTGTATACTGCTGTTGGTCAGGTTTGTTGGTTTACTAATTTGTGCAATAAGTTAGAAATTTTTTTACGCCATTGTGTGTTTTTATGAAGAATATTTATGTAAGTTCTTTTTCTTCAATTCTAAAGTTGGTTGTTTAATTTCTGCAATTATTTTTTGTTAGGATAGTAACAACATTTAATAAATCCCCATGTTTGCTTTTGCTCAGGTATGGTTTGGGCATGCAAAAATACTGTTGTTTAACTAAATGGAGTGGAATTTAATGGGAATTCTTTTATCTTGTAATTGCTTTTATGAAATATAAAACACATCAGAAATAGCTGGATTCAGGTTAAGACATAGTAAGACAACTATTAAAACAAGCTTTCTAATTATAAGCACATTCCAAATTATGGCTTAACATTACAGGAAAACCAGGCTATGTCTTATGTTGTTAGGATCTATCTATCTATCTATCTATCTATCTATCTATCTATCTATCTATCTATCTATCTATCTATCTATCTATCTATCTATCAATCATCTATCTATCT